TGTGTGTGTGTGGCCAGCTCAGCCCACCAGGGGGCGCAGCTGGCTGGCATGTGGTGCTGGGGGATTGAACCGCAGTCCCTGTGCTTTAGACAAGCTTGTTCCAAGTAGGTGCTTTAGACCACTGAGCCATCTCTCCAGCCCCATGAATTTCCTTTTGAATTCAGTTTTTTTTGTATGTAGCATACTGTTGGAGCTTGCTTCTTGATCCATTCTGCCAGTTTATATTTTTTGACTGCTGAATCGAGACCATTTACATTGGGCTGGGGAGGTGGCTCAGTAGAATAAGCGTTTCCCTGGCAAGTGCAAGGGCCTGAGTTCAATTCCCAGTTCCACCAAAGGAGAAAAAGAGAGAGAGAGAGAGAGAGAGAGAGAGAGAGAGAGAGAGAGAGACCATTTATATTGATGATTATAACTAATATGTATTGACTTACTTTTTTCCTGTCATTGGGACGCCTCCGCCCTTGTTTCATTATCCTGTGGATTTATTTTGTTAGGTTTCATGAAAGTTGTAGTCTGCACTATCTCTTTCTAGAACATCCTTCAAAACATTTTGTAGTGCTGGTTTGATGTTTCTGAATTTCTTCAGGTATTCTTTGTCATGGAAGTGTCTTTCTCCATCAATTTTGAATATAATTAGACTTGGTGGGTGGGGAATATAGCTCAGTGGTAGAATGCTTGCCTAGCATGCACAGACCCTGAATTTGATCCCCAGTAAAACACACACACACACACACACACACACACAAACACACACACACTGAGGTTTTTTGTCTTTTTGAGACAAGGTCTTGCTATGCAGTTTGGGCTGGCCTTGAGCTCACTTTATAGCGCAGGCTGGTCTTGAAATCACAATGATCCTCCTGCCTCAGCCTCCCCAGTGCTGGGATTACAGGTATGCGCCACCATGCCTGGCCTCTGAGAAAGTGATTGTGGGCAGAAATTAGAATTTGACAGCCACATTCACTTACCACAGACTAAATGTAGACCTGATGGAAGTACATGAGCTTTTTTTATAGATTGAACAGAGATCCTCTTTTCTGTGTATCACCTTTTTTAAACACGCCTGGGATGTTTCAGGACTCTGTGACCTTTGATGATGTGGTTGTGAACTTCACCCTGGACGAGTGGGACTTGCTGGATTATTCCCAGAGGGAACTCTACCGAGATGTTGTGGGGGAAATCTTTATGAACTTGTCCTTTATAGGTAAGAAGACAGTCTCTCTTTACTTAGAGAACATGTCTTTCTTGTCCATCAGTGCTGTATCATGGTTTGAAATGTGGGAAAGGAATACTTTGGAAAATAAACAGCATGGTGGCAGCCTATTGTGAGCATCTCGTGTGTTCTTGATTCATTCTAAGAACTCATAATGATTTTCTCACCCTACATTACAGGGGAAAAATGGAACCAGAATATTGAAGATTGGTACAGAAATGAAGGGAGAAATTTAAGGTAATTTCCAGTGAAAAGAAAAAGCAGTGTCTCACAAAATAATATTGTATATCATGAAATTTTTAAGGTAGTAAGTCAGCTTATCTCTAATTTTTTTTTTTTAAGGTTTTTTTTTTTTTTTTCCTCGAATGCCTTCAGGGCACTTTTGGCCAGC